CCGGCACGTCGCAGCGCGCCCCGCCCCACCCCGCCTCGCACTCGCACCGGAACCCGCCCGTCTGCTGCCACAACGCACATACTCAGCACATCGAGCGCACACCGAGTGCTCTCTACTGCTGCTAAGATAATGCTTACGAGGTCCCTGCAGGCGGTGGCGTGGACGCAGGGCGCGGAGGCGCAGCGCTCCGCCTTCAGGTCCGAGAGCGCCTTGCCAGCCGCCGCCGTCGTCCCCGTCGCCAGCTCGCAGTACACGCCTGCACACACGCAACGCACGCCGGTTAGCCTCCGGGTCCTCTGATCTGAACCTCATCGCATCGACAAACAAACTAAATACACCGACATTCGATGACATGTAATGCATTACACGGACCATTCCACACAAATAAATAACTAATACTAAGTCTAAACGCTAACAGATCCATTCATTATTAGGTTTCAATGTCATTCCATGAAGTGTTACGATGATTAAAGTAAATAACAAAAAGACGGACAAAGAAAGCACAACATCGATCCGGCGGCGGAGGAAAACCAACACATGCCAAAATAACTCTGATCTGCACATCACTATGAACAGGATAACAAAAAATGAAAGCGGAACAGCGAAGGAGGCAAACACTGCAATATGCCGCACTAACTATTGTGCGCTGCGGCCGCCGCTCCAAAAACAAAAAAAATACTTCAACCCATTTGCCGTTCCACCCCCTGCAAAAGGAATACATTTGTTTATATATTACTCTCTAGTTTGTGTATGAATGTTTTGATTAGGAGTAGACGCGGGTTGCGTGTACCTTTGTATCCGGGGGCGCAGGTGCAGTTGATGCGGTCGGCGAGGCGCGTGCAGGTGGCGCCGTTGAGGCACACGCCCGCCTCGCACGCGCCCGCCGCCCCCGTGCAGTTGGGCGCGCGCCCCGGCACGCCTGCAACACATGCCGCACTACAGACACCCCCGACACGCCTACACGACATCAGCCACTCAGATATTCACTATTACAGGGAATAATGTACCGTAGTATCCGAGATCGCAGACGCAGATGACCTGCTTGGTGACCATCACGCCCGCCACCATGCCGGGCAGACCTGCGGATGACACGCTCGTTTGTAGTTTCAACTTACGTGTGTGTTCTATGACATATACATTTGTATATAACTTACCTAGGGAGTGGGCGTCGCGGCAGTGCGAGTGGGGCGGGCACTGCAGGTCTGCGCAGGCGGCGGGCGAGGCGGTGGGGGCGGGGACGGACACGGGGGCGGGGGGTGGCGTGCTGGCGGGCAGCGGCGCGTCGCAGAGCGGCGGCGCCCAGCCGCGCGCGCACACGCAGCGGTACCCCGCGCCGCCGCTCTCCTCCACGCACGCCCCGCCCGCGCCGCACGGCCCGGACGCGCACGCCGACATCTGCACGCCGAACAATGTACTCTAAATTATACGCCTCGAACTTTACGCACATTTTAGAGGTTGATACAGTAATCGGACGAGTCTACATTTTTCCTGTAAGTATAAAATGTTGTAACCTTCTGGCACTGGTCGCCGGTGTAGCCGGGCAGGCAGGCGCACACGTAGCCGCCGTACGTGTCGTAGCACACGCCGTGCCCGCACACGCCGCGCTCCTCCTCGCACTCGTTCACGTTCACGTCGCACCGCGGCCCGCCGTACCCTGCCGTAGATAAACGGATCCTTCTATATTTGAAAGCGCTTCTACAGGATAAAGGCGCACGAGGAGAGCGGGGCGCGGGACGGACCGGTGCCGCTGCAGTCGCAGGTGAAGTCGTCGACGGCGTCGAGACAGCGGCCGCCGTTGAGGCAGGCGAGGCCGGCGGCGCCCGCGGCCGCGCACTCGTCCACGTCCGTCTCGCAGTTGCGGCCCGTGTACCCTGCGCACGTGTCACAAACGTTCCTTAGTCGAACTTAAAGTCTGTCAGCCGCGTCGGTGCGAGCGCGCGCGTACCCGGCGGGCAGACGCAGACGTAGGAGTCGGCGCCGGCCGGCACGCTGCAGCTGCCGTTGTTGCGGCACGGGCCCGCCACGCACTGCGGGTCCAGCGACACCTCCAGCTCGCAATACTTTCCTGTGCAACAAATATTTATGTATAAATGAGCGATGAAGGTAAATGAAGGTCCGCGCAAAAGGCATTAGAGATGGTGTGTAGCGCTGACCGTGGTAGCCTGGCGCGCAGAGGCAGGCGTAGTCGCCGCGCGCGTCCTCCAGGCAGCGCGCGGCGTGCCGGCAGGGCGCGGAGGCGCACGGGTCTCCCGCGTCCACCTCGCAGTTGTTGCCCGTGTAGCGCGCGCTGCAGTGGCACTCGTACCTGCGCGCACACGCGTACACATCGCGTAAATACCGCCACTTAACTGGTTTAAAGCTATCGCTATGTTTATTTAAATGTTATGGAAATTAAACCTGTCGTGGCGGGAGATGCAGGTGCCGTGGCGCATGCAGGGCTCGTTGTAGCAGTGATCTTTGGGCGGAATGCGTAGTACATCTTTCCTATCGATACCTGCCCGCGAACAATTATATAACTATAATTAAAAGGTAAAAAATATATAAATCACATTTAAAATTGTACATGTTATTGTGCGTTACATTGGTCGGTGGTGAGGGGACAGTTTCCGAAGAGCACGTTGTGGTCCTGCGCGTGCTGCGCGTGGAACTCGAGCTGCGGACCCTCGTGCATGCAGCCGCTGAAGAGGTTGCCCACGAGCAGTACGGCGCCGCCCGCCTCCAGCGCGCCCGGGCTCAGCAGCTCCGGGTTCCATGTCACGTTCGATATCACCTGCCACAACGACACGGAGTCATGACGACCTTGCGACACGATGTCGCCACGGCCACATTCAGATTCAATTTAATGATTTCACGGTATTAATGACTCAACATAGTCGTATACTGCTCGACTGGACAACTACAAAGGTCTATTGAATTTGATTGGACTTAAAACTGTGGTATTTTTTTTTAAGTGTAATAATTGTCACACATACGTTTTTGAATAATTGTAAGCATTACTTATAGAAGAACAATGGACCGTCTCGAATCACCTGTGTGTCCTTATCGACCTCAAGAAGTAAGGACAGGGGCTCGGGGCGGTAGCGCAGCGCGACCCAGTGCCAGCGGTTGTCGAGCGTCTCCTGCGGCAGGCCCACCTCGCGCTGCGGCTGGCCCGGCCGCGCCCACGACACCACCACTTGCTCGAACAGCGCCGTCACGTGCAGCGTGTACCCCTCGAACCGCTGCGAGAACAGCTCCCCGCCTGCAACGCAACGCAACGCACCGCTCCTATACCTTACCGATAATGATAGTTACAAAATCGTGATTTAACAACTTATACCGTTGACGTCGCGTGCAAACGTCACCGTTTTATCTTAACGACCTATGAAATCCATAGAATTTAACGCTTTAACGCAGCTTCACGTTATTTAGAACATTGCAGCTATGAGAGGTATATCTGTTCATATGGTAGATATATTTTATGTATTTGGAGCCGTTACATCTTAACAGAAATCCTTAATTAGTAGTTGACACGGTTACAGATCTTGCTGACAATCTGACAAATGCTTTCTAGTTTACTAACAAGTTGACACCGTCAATGACGAACGCGATACATTCATTGATGATGATTATTAATTAATACCTAATATAACTAACGCATATAATACCATACTACCTAATACTAAAACATATCGCGGCGCCGTGACATTCCTGTTGTATTTATCATTGACACGGTGTTTACTTTGTGGGCAAGCTGCCGTTTGAGTGCATCTCTGGTGTATAGCCGAATTAAAGCGTGTGAAGTTTATTTCTGTTATTAGCGAAATAATAACACTGCTCCCCGTAGACATTTACCTTATTTATATTATTTTTTGTTAAAATGTTTATTAATTTCATTTTATCAAAAACTAAATTAAACCCAAAAGATTTTAACAAAATACAACATTGTGTTTTGTTTTAAAATTAATAATTTGTGTGTAAAAATGTCAATATTTAAATCTTTACACTATATAAAAATAAACATAAAATTGTAGTCGATTTAAATTTTAATAAAATATTGTAATGTACCACAAAAATAAGGCAAATCATTGATTTGTAAATAAACAAGCAACTTGTGATTGCAACAGGTGGTGATGGTAGCTTGTCTCATCACATTTGGAGATACAACGTAAAGTAAAAGTGGTATTACATACACTTTAAAAACTGAATCTTTTTTCTTTAATTGCTCGTAAAATGTTAATAACTGCGCTGCAGAAATAAAGAATTGAACGGGTCGTGGTTGTGCGTGCGATAGCAGCAGGCACCGGCCACCCGATGCCGAGCGCGCGAGCTCAGCCCGCACAAACCTGTCACTAGTCTAGCACATGCGCGCTCCGCTGCCGCCACGCCGCCACGCCACCGCCACCGACACCGCCGCCGCCGCCGCCGCCGCTCATTATACAACACCACTTAGTAATATACGTTCAGAATGGATGCAATTTTTTCACTTTCAGCATCGCCGATGATTAGTTTTGAAGGTGAGATTTAGCCATAATTGTAAGACATTTTAAATAAGTTTAACAATTTACAAAATATTTAATTCATATTACAAATGGAGTGAATGAGTTGCTAGAGGCTAAAAGTGAAGAAGCGGCAAAAAGTGGCCAAACTATCCGATAAAAAATGACAATTATTCTTATAACATAATATGTTTGCTTGATGTCCTCAGTGACGTGTCCATCATCGGTGCCGGCACTGGGAATCCAACCGAACACGATTGTTAACTATTTTGTTTGTGGGCAGCAACGGCTACGACGGCGGCGGCGACGGCGACGGCGCTGCACTGAGTCACTGACCTGCCGCACTCGCACACGCGGCGGCGGCACAGCGTACAGAAGACGTCAGCGAGATCGCGCCGGCCGGCGGGCGCAGTCAGGGCGAGTGCAATCAATACATACTCCCGCCCCCGGGAAGCGATCCTTCGTGCAATGCTCTTTACTTTTGTGTAGTTGTATTTACAAGTACGGTCATCTGTGCAGGCCTCGCCGCTTGCGTCTGATAACTCGAGTTTTATAAGATATAGACGGCTCTAATGAGTCATTAAATATAGTGATATACCTTCAGTGAACGGTGACCGACCGCGTCGGACGCTAGGAATGTCTAGCGAATGCGACGCAAACATTCATCATGAATAATAATCATTAGTATGTAGTGATTCAAGCGCAAAATCCATTGAGCGTGTAATCGACCGAACTTTATGTTATAGAGGATTGCGTATTAACAACATCATTTTTATTTTTTCACGTAATACTACGCTTGAATGTTCAGATATTTAATGTTCGTTTAGAAATGTTTCAAAATATTGAAAATGCCGTATTTGAAACAGTGTGCTGAAATGTTTGCGAGTGGTACAGCAGACATCGTAAATATGAAATATATCGTAGTCGGCGCTATGTCTGTCGGTCACTCACCGACGCATGTGCGGAAGCTGAGACCGACGAGCTGCTTGAGGGAGACGGGGCGTGCCAGGCGGATGTAGGAGCTGCCGTTGAAGT